TTAATATGTTCTCATTTAATACGTTCCTTATTGTTTTCTATGCAATCGTCTAAATTGTCGAATTAAAAAAGGGAGGGCTACCACATGCCCACATTCTACTCTTTCTCACACAAGGGAATACATTTCCTACACCAATAGACATTGATAAGATTATATGTGCAAAATTGCCAGACGAGTCATTGGAACCAGTATACTTTAAAGCAATCACTGATTTTATATGAATCAATGTCTACAAGGATTCAGAACTTAGAAAGAAACTGTTTTTTATATGATGTCTTCAGATACAAAATTGTCAGCCGTTCAGACAAAAAATGGTTAAAGTTTCACGGACATAAGAAAATAAATACATAAAAATTGCAATGCTTTCACATACAACACATACAATACAGATAAGTGGCTTTGAGAGCTTGGACTGGTATGTTAAAACACATGATATGCAAAAAAGAATAGAGGTCAGTCACATTGGATATGTGACATTCAACACAAATTCCTGATAATTTTCCTAACAAAAATTAAATTTTACATATCAGTGCAGGTACTTGCTGAAAAAGGGATTTTTAAGACATGCAACCTCAAAAAGGAAAACACTTTTACTAAATGTTTAATTAACAAACAAAATATCTGTCGATGGGCAAAAAAAATCTTAGCACGGATCGTCCAAATGAAAAAATAAATAAATCAATTGTAAAAAAGTAATAGATCTATAAATTTATATTTCCATCTCCAAATGAAGATGTAAATTCAACGAGGGATCATAGAAAAAATTTCATCCTCTCCCGCGATTCAACTAGAGTTTGTCGATGGGACCGATGACTCAAGGATTAACAGAAGTAGGGAACGAAGAGAAAAGGTGGAGAATAACAGAGAGATAGCGATGGAGAGACTCGGGATGGAGGTGGAGTTGGGGAGTGTCATTTGAAGTACATTCTAGAAAGAATAAACATAACCCTAACGAATGGTCTAGCCGACAAGCATATGTTCTGTCATTGGACTGCTTTTCATTGGGCCGGATAATCCATAACATCTTTAAAAGAAAACCTATATTTGGATCCAGTAATATTTGGTACATTATTTGGGTCAACGTTATGATTTTAGGCTATAAATATTTTCAATTTAATCAATTAAACCATATGAGTAGTGAACAGACAAATTAAGTTGGATCGAATGGAATATTTTAAAATTGCAATTGTTATCATTTCAGAGTAATATTGAGTAACTAAGGCATTTATTTTAATGACAAAAGGAGTATATTAATGCGCGCGTAGCATTTTGTTTTTCTTTTTTGTCCTCTTTGACACTCAACATAAATTATTACTGTTGCATAAGAGGATCGGGAAAATGAACATGCAAATTAAATGGTCCAAGGCTAACACTACCTATCGTCAAGTCCAGTGCGATATGTGGCATGAACAACAGTTAGATGTAGAATACTGATTACTACTTTTGTCCTTGAGTATTCACCCATTTTTTATATTTTGACCTTTTCTCATTTAAAATTGGCAACCATTGAGCATAAATTAAATTGAAGTGATATTAAATATTGATACAAAAAAAATTATTGGATTTTTTTAAAATATTTTCAAAATATTATTTTATTTAATTAATATATAATATGTATTTAATATCATTAAAGTTCAAAGGATGAAAATCATTTACTGCAACAAGTCGAAATTGGACAACTATTTAAAAACGAATATAGTACATGGCAAGCTCAAACAAATGGGAGAAATACGAATATAACACTTTAATAGGCTTATAATGCGAAAAATAGCAGTGCTATAAGTTTTTTAGATGAATTCCCAATATTACCCTTAATTAAACAAATTTGTATTATATATACACTGCCACAATATATACATTGCCACAATATATCTACACTGCCACAATATATATACACTGTCATAATGTTAGCCACAATATGTACTTCCAAAAATTCAATGTCTGAAATACACTGCCACAATATATGCACTGCTAAAAATTCAATGTCTGAAATTCAATGCCACAATATATACACTGCCACAATATATCTACACTGCCACAATTCGGGCAATCACAGAGCATACTTCTCATAGTTTCTAAGAAAATATTTTAGTTTGTTTATGAAGAAAATTAAATAAATATACCTTCTGAAAAGAACAAGGATTCTAAGATTAAGAGAATAGATATAATATAATATATTGCCACAATATATACACTGCCACAATATATCTACACTGCCACAATATATACATTGTCATAATGTTAGCCACAATATGTACTTCCAAAAATTCAGTGTCTGAAATACACTGCCACAATATATGCACCGCCAAAAATTCAATGTCTAAAATATAATGCCACAATATATACACTGCCACAATATAAAGCTTCCATGAGTATCTCATGTCCCATCAACACGTAGCAATATCGTCAAATTTGGACCCATCTGTGATGCTCCTTTTAAATAATAAAAGAGAAAATATT